GCTCTGAGCAACAGCGGTTCGAGTCAGCCCGAGCTGAGCAGCCGCTGAGCTGCCAACAGGTGGCAGGATGGCTCAAAAAAAAAAAAAAAAAAAAATGACCGTGCTTGACTAATTCAAAAAGCTATCTGCACCTCCATGTTCACTGCAACGCTATTCACAATAGCCAAGATGTAGAAGCAACCTAAGTGTCCATCAATAGACTACTGGATAAAGAAACTTTGGTACATATATACAGTGGAGTATTACTCTGCCATTAAAAGTGTGAAATCTTACGATTTGCAACAACATGGATAAACCTAGAGGGTATTACGTTCAGTGAAATAAGTCAGACAAAGACAACACCATATGATTTCACTCTGGAATCTAAAGAACAAAATAAATGAACAGAGGGTGAAGAAGTACAAACTGGTAGTCACAAAACAGCCACGGGGATGTAAAGTACAGCACAGGGAATACAGTCAATAAAAATACATACATACATAAAAAATGACCGTGCTTGAAAACCAGTTCAACACCCCTGCTGGGAACGATGTGGTCACCGCCCCAGAATACACTTAAAATATACGCGGTGGCAGCACTGTGTGCTCAGCTCACTGATGGAACAGGTGGAAATGCCCGGAGGTGTGGCTTCCCTTCTACATGTAATGGGGTGTACAGGGAAAAAAACAAGTACGGCTCTGAGTCCCCAAATTAAGGTTATTTGGATTTTGATGTATGCTACTGTGCTGTGTGAGTCCGTTTCTTGTGTTTAAATGGGGTGGTGAGGATAATGGCTCCCCCATGAGCCCAGCAGGGTTGGTGTGATGGCCGCAAAGGGCTTTGCAAAGTGTAAAGACATCACAACCAGTGCAGTTATCATCAAATGGAGTTCGGTGACGCTTGTGTCCACAGTTGTTGTGTGCCCTATCTACCTTTTGAACAGTCCCCAAAGCATCTTCCCACGCCTCGTTCCTGCGTGTTTCCCAGGGGTGTATTTGGTTTGTCTGATGAGGTGGCAGATTGCCGCCAGTCCTGGGTCACTGTCCTAAGAAGCTGTTGATGTCGCATGGGCTGACTACTCATGCCTAAGTGCCAAGTGGCACCCAGCCGGACCTCAGTGACTGGCACGTGGCCCGGTTTCTGCTGCTCACCTCACCCCTGTCCAGGACTGATGCATGTGTTGGCATCTAGGTGCCCTATTACCAGCAGCTCTTCTGTGCCAGACCCCCTAGAAGGAAGGGGGTCCCGCGGCAGGCCATCTGAAACATGACAGACAGGTGGCCTGTGGCAGACATTCATCTCTCGCCTCTGGCTCGGGTCCCGGTGGTTTTGTGCTTGTCGTTCGTTGCTTGTCCGCGGTACCTGAGACTGGCTCTTCCTGTGTCTCTGGCTGGATATAGGTAACCACCCCTTTCTCTGCAGTATTCCAGCCTGGAAGCCAAGCTCTGCCAGATAGAAAGTAAATACTTGATCTTGCTGCAAGAAATGAAGACCCCAGTGTGCTCAGAAGAACAGGGGCCTGCCCGCGATGTCATAGCCCAGCTGCTGGAGGACGCTCTGCGGGTGGAGGGCTCGGAGCAGCCGGAGCAGGCGCTCGTGAAACCTCACCTTGTCAGGTAAAGGTGCCGGCGACCGCGGGGCGGGGGGACCCCTTTTCCAGCAGCAGCCGTTCACAGAGCCCTGCACAGCTGCATCTCACCTGATGCTCCTGACTCATGCTGTCCCGTCATCTGCACGGGTGATGTCGTAGTTCCTGCCATGATAACTAAGGGGCAGAGCTGCGGCTCCGCTGGGCTTTGTCATTCTGAGACCTTCCTCCCGTGTCCATGTCCAGGAGGATGGCGGCTGTGGTTCTGGTTAGGCCGCTGCAAGAGGGGCCAGTCTTCCAGACGGGACCCTCTCCTGAGACACAACCACACCCAGGGGGCCTGGGCGGCGACCAAAACACCTGGGTCCCCTGACTCAGCACTTGAGAGACCCCCGAGGGTCGCTGTGAACACCTGCCCAGAGTGCACTGGGACACATGCAGTATTACATACATTTTCCAGAAAATCAGTCTGTAAGATGGCGATGATGGATCTTGCATTAAGAACCTGCATTTCTGAGTTTCTGAAAAATGAGATTTATGAACTATTGGAGTGAGGCGAGATCTGCAGATTGACTTGGTCCAACTCCTCCTCTGTTCCTGCCCTCTTTCTGTTCAGGGGCTGACTCCGCCCCTGTGCTGGGCCCTGCCTGCCACAGTTGCCCCATTTCTCCTGTCCCGCCCTGGCCCTAGGCAAATCCTTGCTTCAGAGTGACACAATCTTTCCTTCCTCTGCACTTACAGTGCTGGCCTGCATTGCCTGGGCCAGTCAGATGACACTTAAACATACGCTGACAGAATGTGGCAAACGCCATTGTGACAAACTCTTCCTGGAGTCTGCCAGGAGCTGTGCAAGGGGACTTAATACATAGGCTTGTAGTTAACGCTCAGTGAGGTGGTGTTTTCATCCTCATTTACAAACGAGGAAGCTGAGGTTGGGAAGGTGATATGACTTGCCCAGAATCACACAGCCCCTGAGTGGCGAGGATGGGACCCCAGCGTGAGCAGCTGTCCCCACGCTGTGCTCTCCTGCTCTGTTCACAGCGGTGACGTGACCTCCCGCGAGGGCATTCCAGCCAGCCACTCCAAGGACGCCGTGGCTTCTTCCCGCGTGTGTTTGTTTCCAAAATTCCTGTAGAAGCAGAACAATGCCTGTGCATGTTGATTTAGTTTAACTTTTAGTTATGGGAAATTTCAAACATACAAAGTAGTGGACAAAATCATGAAACAACCCCCATGTGCAACTGTTACCCAGCGTTACCAGTTGTTAGTTTGCCAGTCCTGTTTGATCTTATCTCCCCTGCCCTCATTTTTTTTTCCTGGAAAATTTCCAAGTAAATGCTACACATCTCATTTCACCATTTAACATTCAATATGTATTTCTAATTGATGGCACTTTTTAGTACACTGATCTCACCATGGTCTCACCATATTCTTATATTTTTGCAGCTTTTCTTCCATTCTTTTCCGAGATTCTACAGGTGACACACATACCTCCTGTGTGTCCTCACCCGCTCACAGGCCTTCACTGAGCACACCACACGTGTGTGCTGCTCCCTCATGGTGGATGTGTAGGCTCGGTCTGTTTTCCTTGTTGCAGAATGTGATGCAGTGAACGTCCTGGCCCGCGCGTGTGTGTCCATGTGAGGGCGTGTCTCTGGGCTGCAGATGAGAATGGAATCCCTGGCCTCTGGGGAATGCGTACCTGCGGCCCTGCTAGATCCGGTTTCCAGGGGGCTCACAGGCAGTGTGCGAAAGGCCTCTGTGCTGCTTTTCTGTCGCTGCCGGGACAAATGATCACACAGTGGCTTAAAACAACACCTGTTTGTCACCTTACAGCTCTGTAGGTAGCAGTCTCGCCGGATGAAAATGAAGGTGCGGGGGACAGTTTGTGTCCTTGGTCACCCAGGTTGGCAGAGTGCAATTCCTTGAGGCTGTGGGACAGGTCTCTGGTTCCTTGCTGCCTGTCAGCTGTGGCCACTCCCAGCTCCCAGCCCCACCTGCGCTCTTCTGTCTCTAAAGCCAACAGCAGTTGGCCAGTCCCTCACTTCACAACTCTCCTGCCTCTTCTTCCCATTGTCGCCTTCCTCTTCCACTTTTGAGGGCTCCTGTGATGACGTTGGGCCCCCCAGATAACCCAGGATTATCTCTGCGCCTTAGGTTCTGTAACCGTTATTCCGTCTGCAACGATCCTTTTGCCATGTAACGTCACATGTTCACAGGTCCATGGGATTAGGGCACGGATGGCCCTGTGGGGCATTGTTCTGCCGACCACAGGTGTAAGAGCTCTTAATCACTAATATCTTACAGGATTTCCCCTTGTCTTCTCACCTGTTTTTTATTTTAAGATTTTTATTGAGGAATTGGGGGAGGGGGAACAGACAAGTTGCTGTCCTTTGGTTCTTCAATCTAGTTGTGGAGGACGTCGCTTCACTGGCCCATGTTAGTATTATCATTGCGCTCTTCCCAGGTGAGGCAGTTGCTCACCGGCCATTGGATGGCCGCTCACGGCGGCTCACGGCAGCTCACACTGGCTGCCGGCCACTCATGGTAGCTCACGGCAGCCCCCCTGCAGCCTACGCCGTCTCCGGCGACTCACAGCAGCCAGCTCTAGGTCGAGCTGTTGTTCACCCTCTTAGCTGTAGAGGGCGCAGCGTCACGGGCTCTCATTTGGGACCTGAACCGGGGCCCTGCTGCTCAGA